TTGTTGATTCTTTGTATTGTTTTCTTTGATTCAATTTCTTTGATTTCTGCCCTGATTTTTGTTATTTCTTCTTGTCTGCAGGGTTTGGGTTTTGTTTGCTGTTGCTTAAGTGTGTTGAGTTGCCGTGTTAAGTCATTTATTTGTGTTCTTTCCGATTTTTTGATGTAGGCACTTAGAGCTATAAACTTTCCTCTAAGAACGGCTTTCAGCGTGTCCCAGAGGTTTTGTTGTGTTGTGTTCTCATTTTCATTTTGTTCCAGGAATACTTTTATTTCTTTCTTAATTTCTCTTTTGACCCATTCATCATTCAGGAGTGTGTTGTTTAATCTCCATATGTTCGTGTGGTGATTTTGGCTTCTTCGGGTGTTGATTGTAAGCTTTATTGCATTGTGGTCTGATAGAACACATGGAATTATTTCAATCTTTTTGTTCTCATGTAGCCCAAATTGTCTTCAAACTTTGTCTTCCTGACTTTACTTCCCAAATGCTGTGATTACAGGCATATACCACCTTGCCCAGCTTAGGAACGTTAAGCCACCAGAATTTTTCAAACATTTAAGGAACAAAGTAGACAACATGCTCATCTAAACAGGTAATTTTGTAACACCGCAGCTAAGATATCTTGTTCAGTAAAGAGGTCCTGCTTTATGTGTGTACACAGTATAATAAAAATATTGTAATTATGATTTTACAGTATAGTAATTTGAAATAGTGCCACGTGTCCTTTCCTTTCTTCATATGGGAAAAGGAAATTCCTTTGAAAATTGCTTGAATCCTAGACAAAACTCAGCATTTTTCCCCTGCATCATTCTGTAGCCTTCCAGATTCACATAAAAGGGACAGTTGAGCCTTTCAAAGATGCCATTCCAGCTCTCATGATCTCATCTACCAGGAGAATGTTGGTGGCAATGACAGTGCAGGAGTGAAGAAGCTGTTTCTTCACACAGTAGTTACCCCATACGCCTATTTCTGCTGCTACCATTGGCTCACCTGTGCTCAAATCCACACCGAAAAGCTGGCCCGATTCTGAATGTTCGTCTTGAACGTTAATGTTTCCTGAAGGTCAAAACTAGAATCTGGGCAAGAGCCTTGGGGATAATCAGCAAGGCATCTACAAATACCTGGACTCCAAGTTGAGCCCTGCCCTTCACACTGGGCTTGCATTTAATCAGGGCTTCTGCCATGACCACTTCTACAGCACCACCATCTGGGACAACACAGTCATCAATAGCATTTTTGACAGCTCTCAAGCCATCTCTTATTGCATCCTTGATTTGAGTCAGTGTGTGCTTATTTGGTCCTTTGACCAGTAATGTAACAGAATGGGGATTGTTACATTTCTCAATGAAGGTGAACTTCTTTTCTCCCAGTATATACTCATATACAAGCCCTGCATGTCCCAGACAGTCAGGATTCAGGTCATCAAAGGAATTCAGAGCTACCCCACCACAAGCAAGAGTCATCCTCTCCATATTTCTCCTCTTTGCTCTGCGCAAACTATTATGCCTTCTTTTGCAAGGGCATCTAAAGAAAATGGGTCAATTCTATTTTGATTAATAACAACAAATCCTTTATCTGAAAAACCACAGACTTTTTTGTTCAATTCTATTATTTTTTAAAACTCTGTCTTCAATGAATTTTCATTCTGCTTTTACTAGTTTTTCTCTCTTCTGCACTCTTGTAAAAAAAAACCCAGAATTCACTTCTGTTTTCTCATATTCTAAGGAAACGTTGCTTGTGTGGTTGTATGCATTTTCTGCTCTCTTCTTCTTATCAGGATGGCATGCTCCATAATCCAAAACTAACCCTTGGATTAATCTTGTATCAGTTTCAGACTTATGCTTCGTCTCCATGAGTTCAACCATGAAGAGGTCAATGGGCTCATCTTTTCTCTTAATGGCCAAAATGGAGTCCACTACAGCCTCTGTTAAGACATCTGCAAGCTCAGCATAAACTTTAGTTAGTAGAGATGTTCTGGCCTTGTCGATAAGTGTTTCTCTGTCCATTTCTCTGTTTAATTTATTCCAAAAGCTGGAGGTCCTTTTCCTTTACAGCTTCAAAGTCTTAAGACCCTCAGAGATGTAGAGGTCTGCCTGTTTCAGCAGCTCCCCAATGATAAGGACGTTGGAAGTAGTACCATCACCAGTTATGTCATCCTGGGCTGTGGCCACTTTTGCTATTAAAGAGGCTGTTGGGAGTTGAATTTTCATTTTGTGAAGCAGGACGGTCCCATCTTTAGTACATTTGATTTCTCCAGCACCAGAAACAAGCATCTTCATGGTGTCCTTAGGCCCCAAGTTGATCCTCAGCATGTCCTGTGGGCCCTGGGCCACACTGATATTCACAGCCAGTGCCGCGTGCGCCTGGGCCACCTCAGCCTTGGGGTTCAGGGTCTCCACCACAGCCATCATTGCTAGGCCAGCTCAGGGAGAGACCAAAAGCAATGTGGGACCCATTCAGCACGGCCCGGGGTAAACTGCCTACTTTTCTTTATGGCCTTTTTACCCTAAGTACCTAGCCAATTCCTACCTCCTATTCTTATCACACCATCCTCTGAAGAGGTTACCCAACTTGCGAGGGTAGGGAATCGGGATGCAGTCTGCTCTGGCTTCTTCCATGCTGAACAGGGATGCAGGGTGAGGCAACTGGGGTACCCCTTCTGTGGGTCTATTTAAAAGATTCCCAAATTGCATAACTTGCATAATTCTTTGTGTGTGTGTGTGTGTGTGTGTGTGTGTGTGTGTGTGTGTGAAGGAGAAGTAAAGGCAAGAGTAATTAGCATTACAAATTCTAGACAGGGAACTAGAAAAAAAGTCAGAAGAAGGCAATTTTCAAATGTTCATATGAGAGTCCATTGGAATTTCTTGACAAGGGCTTCCAAAGTCATCCCTCTATTGGGTTCCTCCTCATTATTCTTTTGTCTTCCAAGGCTGGACTCTAGAGTGATGGATTCGGGATTTGCTTTCAGGTATTTTGATAGCTGTTGAGAGTGGTTAGAATCAGTGTCAATTCCTTCTCAAAGGCTTCGAGATAACTGAGGGGTTGATGAGGTGTACCAGTGTAGTCTTGCACCATTTCCATCCCTCCCAGTTCCCCCTCCAACTCCACCCACATCCCCTCCTCAATTTCCTGTCCTCTTCCTTAATTACTATTTTTCCGTATGTACACATACATTTATATAATGCACTGAGTCTATTCAGTTGTGCCCCTGTGTATGAATGTGTTTAGGGCTCCCCACTTGAAGTTATATAACCTCTTGGGGTGCTAGTCCCTGGAGAAAAGTGATCCCTCTCTCAATATCTATTGATTGCCTGCAGCTCTTTATCTTGAGGTAGGACGTCTTGAAATTTCCCTCAGTCATCTTGGTATGTCACCTGGTTTTGACTACCTTAATGTGGATATTTCACTGGTATAGCTACTCTTGCATGTTTCAAATGCCTTAAGTAGCAGCAGGTGTCTTTTCACTCTGGCTGTTGCATTCTTTCAGCCCCCTCTTCTGTGTTGTTCCCTGAGCCTCAGGTGAAGAGGTTATATAGCAGATGTATCCCTTAGGGCTGGGCACCTTACAGAGACTTGTTGTTTGCATTTGACCAGTTTTGGAACCTTGCAATAGTCAGCATCTGTTTCAAAAACAGAAGCTTCTTTGATGAGAAGTGAGAGGTACACTTGCCTGTAAATACAAGGATACATATTTGGAATATAGTAAGAAATTATGTTGGTCTACAGGTATGAGAAAAGTAGATTTTACTAGGTTCTACTATACTAACTCCAACCATGTATACTTGTTATGTTTACAGTACCACACATGATTTCCCTCCCACTGAATGGACCTTAAGTCCAATTAGACACCTGCTGATTATCCCCAAGATAAAAGTGTTACTACTGCACCAGTAAAGATAGTTTCATGGACCTGTCATTGTTGTGGTTCATAGGCTTTACAGCTGGGTAGGATCATTGATTGATATTCTCCCTTGGCAGCTTGCACAGTATCATCTGATACTATGAGAGATAGTGTTTAGGGAGGAGGCTTCCAGGTCAGTTCCAGCTGGATTGCTCCAAGTCCTGTGTCTGCAGCATGTCATATCTCCAGTAATAGGGTCTTACAAGTTCTGAGTGGCAAGCAAAAGTGGTGGCAATAGCCTGTAATATTTTAGGCATCTCTTGGACTACCCTGCCCAACAACTCAAAGGGAGGTTACCTTGCCTGGCATCATGATTTTTATTATGTAGCCTTCTGCTATACACATGCACTCATGATGTATGTGTGTGTGTGTGTGTGTGTGTCTGTGTCTGTGTCTGTATTTTTTCAGTAAACTTTTAACCGAATACATTTTCTTCTATTTTTATACTACCTAAGCATTATTTATCCCTCTTTTCTCTTTCCTTCAGTATAGCACTTCCTATTCCCTCCCCAGTCAAAGTATTCCCCCATTTTCCCTGTTTCCTGTTTGATAGCACAAATTACCTACTATTCCCCCCCCAAGCTATTTCTTCTCCTTTACTCCCTTGATTCCTTTCCATTTTAATGACTCCTGTGGTTTTATCAAGAATTATATGCATATCTAAGGATCTGGAGCCAGGATCTACAAATGAGAGACAACATGTGTCTCTTGTTTTACTGAGTGCATTTCTTCACTTAGTATAACAGTTTCTAATTCTACCCATTCACCTACACATTTCATGATTTCATTTTTATTTACTGCTGAATAGAACTCCATTGTGTAAATTTACCATGCAATCATTATCCATCTATTGTTTGAGGGATATTTAGGTTGTTTTCATTTTCTAGTTACTGTGAAAAGAGCAGAAACAAATATGCTTAAGCAAATATCTCTGTAGTAAAATGCTGAGGCACTTGGGTATACGCCAAGGAATGGTATAACTGAATCATATAGTGTGTCTAATTTTAGTTTTCTTTTTTGCTTTTTTTCTTTCTTTTTTTTAACTTTTACAAAATCTTTATTGAAAATTTCATAAATGCATATGAGGTGTTTTGATCAAATCCATGCCCACTCCCTCCCCTCCAACATTCCCCCCTCTGAAGAGGTAACCCTAAAATCTTTTAAGGATTAGATACAAGTTCCAAAATACTTTTGACATTTTGAAATTTTTGGCTGTTGGAAAAGAATGTGTTGCTAACAGGCCCAAGGACATTTTGACTTTTAGCCAAGAAACTGGCTACTTTTCTTTGGGGTCTTTTTACCCTAACTGCCTAACCAATTCCTACCTCCTATTCTTATCACACCATCCTCTGAAGGGGTTACCCAAATTTCCAATAGGAAATAGGGATGCAGACCACTCTGGCTTCTTCCATGCTGAACAGGGATTCAGGGTGAGGCAATTGGAGTCTAAAAGACTCCCAAATTGCTTAAGTCTTATCTCAAGGAGAAAAAGAAAGTCTTTGAATTATGAATAGGAGATGTGAAGGAGAAGTAAAGCAAGAGTAATTAGCATTACAAGTTCTAGACAGGGAACTAGAAAAATGTCCGAACAGGTCAATTTTCAAATGTTCATGAGAGTATATTGGAATTTCTTGACAAGGGCATCTAAAAGCATCCCTCTATTGGGTTCTTCCTCATTTTTCTTTTGTCTTCCAAGGCTGGACTCTAGAGTGATGGATTCAGGATTTGCTTTCAGGTATTCTGATAGCTGTTGGAATGGTTAGAATCAGTGTCAGTTCCCTCTAAAAGGCTTCTAGATGGAGGAGAAAACAAATTTATCCATCATTTTCAAACAATGACGGGTTGTCTCCCTTAGCTACAAGTGGGCACTATGGTATTACAGACCAAGATTTGAGGTCTTACATCTGAGCAGCACTTTCTGATTCAGAACATAACTTTTTATATGTCTGGGAAGTGTAATCCCTTGAACTCTTAAAGAAGTATACTGATGACTTTACTCTTTGGTTATACTTTCTTTTGGGTGTTTAAGACCATACAGTCGGCCCAAATAAATCAATTTGTTTTTACACTTAAGGTCATTTGAGAATTTGTTCCTCAAGAGACACATGGACTTGGGAGGAGCTCCTGGCTCCTTTCTTTTACCAGTTCCATCTATGTGAAGGTAAGTCAAGGGTCCTGCTCGACCATGTCTGGCTTCACTTGGAAGCATGAATGAGATGTTTCTTCTCAGTTGACCCTCCTCTTTGTAGACTGGTCACTGGTTCAAGTCCATCTCGTGGGGTCTCCATGGCCTCCCTAAACAAGAGGACAGGTGACTCACGACAGTTACAGGACATTTTGAGAGATGTTCCACAGTCCCCTGGAACTTAGTCGACTTTGGAGGGCAAGGGGAAAAAAACTGTCCTTTAAGTCCCTCTGACCAGATTAATATAAGGCCTCAAACTATGGCTGTTAAACATCCAATAAGGTTAATTCCACCAGTCTGGTACTTTTAATTATCATGTGTTATATAGATGAGGCTTGGGTAAAAAACCAAATATTCTCAGATAAACCTTGACTAGATGTATATTTTGTTCCTTAAAGTAGTTGACTAAACTATGAGCATAGGCATTTTAAAATTATGTGTATATTATTTTCATCTCATCCTTTATATATCATAACAAACCTAAACAGACCTTCATCAGTTGCTTAGGCTTTCTCGTTTTTTCTATTTTGGAAAATATCTCTATTCCCATATCTTTTTAACATCTTTTACATTCTCATTTTCTTTATTTAAAAAAATAATTGAGACATAATAGCATTAAAACTAAATTTTCCATCTGTTGTGAGCCTTCTTTCCCTAGAGATGTTAAGCAAAGCTTATTCCCTTTCAAGGTTCTACTGTCAAGCCAATATTTGATTAAAATATTACTGTGGAACCAATAAATTTACTGAGCTTATGTATCTAGATAACTAAGGAGGTGTTGAGGTGTATATATGACACGAGGGTATGCACACTGGAAAGCCTTTGCCCAGCATGGGTCATGACTTCTCTTCCTAGCCTTCCCCAGATTATATAGTTTAGCCCTCCCCAAATCCAAGAGGCCATGTGTAATTAGGGTCAAATTACATACAGTTGGCTGGGAAGAGTGGCTGGATAATGAGGTGAGGGTCCAATGATCCTGCTTGGCCCTCCTTTAATGACTGAGGACAGCCGTCAACAAGCCCAATTGTGACTATGTTTAGTGAGCAGGCTCAGCCAAAGTCATGATGATGGTAGTTATTTCATGCAGAAGGAATTTCTGTATATCATCATCTTATTAAAAGGAGCTGGAATTTAAAAGGATTTGGTGCTAGGATCCACATATGAGGGAGAACATACATCATTTGTTTTTCTGAGTCTGTGTTACTTCAGTTAATATAACAGTTTCTAGATCCATCCATTTATCTACAAATTTCATTATTTCATCTTTCTTTACTGATGAATAGAACTGCATTGTGTAAATATACCACATTTTTGTTAACTAC